TCGGCGCGGGGGGGGGGGGGCGCCGAGGTCCAGCCCCTGTCCTGGGGGGCCCACACGAGGCGTAGGAGGGTCTGTCCGCAGTGCAGTCGATCCCCCAGCTCAGTGTCACCCTGTCCCCCTGCCCGCAGCGCAGTCCGTCTGTCACCGTGTCCCTTGGTGTAGTGTCACCCTGTCCCCCTGCCCACGGCAGTCTGTCTGTCCCCTGGCACAGTGTCCCTCTGCCCACGGCCCAGTCCGTGTGTCCCCCAGCTCAGTGTCACTTTGTCCCCTGGCCTGCAGTACAGTTCGTCTGTCCCCCAGCTCAGTGTCACCCTATCCCCCTGCCCACAGCAGTCCATCTGTCCCTTGGCTCAGTGTCACTTTGTCCCCCTGCCCACGGCAGTCTGTCTGTCCCCTGGCTCGGTGTCACTTTGTCCCCCTGCCCACAGCAGTCTGTCTGTCCCCCAGCTCGGTGTCCCCCTGCCCACAGCGCAGTCTGTCTTCTGGCTCACTGTCACCCTGTCCCCCTGCCCACAGCAGTCTGTCTGTCCCTTGGCTTGATGTCACCCTGTCCACAGCGCAGTCTGTCTGTCCCCTGGCTTGGTGTCACTTTGTCCCCCTGCCCACAGTTCCCCATCCCGGCATCCCCATCACCATCCTGGTGTCCTCATCCCCATCCTGCCATCCCTGTCCCCATCCTGGCATCCTCATCCCAGTGTCCCCATCCCCATCCTGGTGTCCTCATCCCACCATCCCCATCCCGCCATCCGTGTCCCCATCCCGGTGTCCCCATCCCGGCATCCCCATCACCATCCTGGTGTCCTCATCCCCATCCTGCCATCCCTGTCCCCATCCTGGCATCCTCATCCCAGTGTCCCCATCCCCATCCTGGTGTCCTCATCCCACCATCCCCATCCCGCCATCCGTGTCCCCATCCCGGTGTCCCCATCCCGGCATCCCCATCACCATCCTGGTGTCCTCATCCCCATCCTGCCATCCCTGTCCCCATCCTGGCATCCTCATCCCAGTGTCCCCATCCCCATCCTGGTGTCCTCATCCCACCATCCCCATCCCGCCATCCGT